AACACCACGCTGGCGGGTACTGTCACCCCAAGTCATCCTCACTTTCAAACACGGAGAAAAAGAGACTGGAAGCCAAGTAAGGTGCTATGTACCTGTTTAACTTCTTGGCGGGGGGGTCTCTGCGTGTTCCAATCAACCTCGTGCAATTTGCAGAATCGAGGACTTTATTGCCGGCGACTCACTCCTCGTGGTGAGCATGCTCGTGGACCTGGTAGATCCAGCACGCGAGGAGATGCAGCACTGTCGCACTATCTACGACACTTCATGGCACGACACTTCTGAAGCACTGTCGCACTATCTACTACGTCGTCGGCACAGTCGGCACAGTCGACACATCTTGGCGTGGATTCCAGGCGAATTGTGAAGGCGGTTGGGTGGTTGGGGTCAAACATGCTCGTTGGGAGTCTGCCCCTACCTTCTATGAATGTGGGCCAGGAGCCCTCGGGAACATCCTTAAGCCCTCGGGAATATATATTGTGTTTCGACATTCTTAATTTTTGGTATAATGTTGACCTATGATTAATAATTTTTGATATATATATATAATTACCTACTTCTTCTGTTCGTGACCCAACTTGATTCCCTGGTTGATTCCGCCACCAACAGGGAATCCAAAGTTTGGTTTTTGCACCGAAGACACAGCTCTCCTAAGTTGAACAACATGGGATGTGCCACAGAACACCGACCAAGAACTGTTCACATGGGATGTCCTGCCACGCACCGGCCCCCTGGGTGACCGTGGAGGATGATTTTCCACCTGTGTTCCAGAGCACTGCGGTGTTGAGCCGCCAACAGATCCTAAGAAGGAACAAATTACAGTACAAATTGCCTTCAGTGTTGGGGGCTATCTCAGCTGTGCCAGATCTTTAGATTTCTTCTCATGTTCCTTTTCTTCCCGCCTCTAACCTCTGCTCCCCCACTTCACAATCATCTTATTATAACCAGCACCACCTCTCCACAAAAAACCCACACCTCCGAACGCAGCCAAACATCCCAGCCCCACCTCTTCACGATGAGCCAAGTGGTCAATGATGACATTCCAAAATAAGTTGGCCGTCTGCATCGCTTTCACGCCTTGATCGAACGTGACGCGTTCCGAACGTGGCGCGTTCCGAAGGTGCCAAACCGCCGGTGACCGAACCGTGCAAAAGAATTGACCTCAACTGACCAACAGAAGTGTCTTTTGGAACGCATTGCACCCCTGTTTTGATAGGAAAGGGGCATATGTTGGATGGCTGCTGGTCCAAAATAGGTCATTCTGCTTCTAGGTTATATAACTTGGCTTGCTTGGAACCATCCCTGGCCATACCATCGCCCAAAGTCAAGCACACATGGAGCCAACATCCCAGGTACGGTGCGCGGCAGGGCAGAAGCGCCAATTCGCGCACCTGCGAGCGCACAACGAGTTGCACAGCAGGATGTGGCTTGTGCTGACCCAGGAAAACTCCTCCTGCGGGGATCCCCGAAAAAGAACATCCACACGCGCGCGCGTTTCGCTAGCTTCTAAGAGTATGGTCCAGTATGGTTGTCCTGGAGTAGATAGCGCAGGGGACAACCCATGGCCTATCAATGGTATTTTCCAAGTTTATCCTGTGTACATCTGTGTACTTAATCTACTTGAGAATGTTGTTCCATCTCGAGATTCCTTCTCCTGGAGAATTCTCGTGACTTTGTTGCTTGCCGGTTTGTCTCTCAGAACGCTGGCTTTCTACCGCAAGCTCCTGAAAACCCTGAATAGGATCACCAGAAATCCGCAAGCTTTTTTTAGCGATTCTTAAGGAAATCGATGAGAGAAACGCTGAGGAACGTCGTAGAGTATTTTCCAGATGGTGGAAGACCAGTCGGAGGAGTGGGTCGCCTCAAAAATCCCAACGATTTCAAGCCTGTAAAGCCACCCAACAAGGTGAAGCTAAAGCCACGACAGGAGAACCTTCTCGGATTTGGGAAGGTCCCCAAGTGCCTCATACCTTTTGGTGCCTCATCCTTCCCCACAAAAAACACCAGCCCTCTTCTCCATGCTTCGTCTCTGGTTTGCTCTCTTCCACCAGACCTTTTCGATCCTTTTCGTCTCGGCCCAGGCACATAAATGGTACCCAAAAGCCAGTGCAAGTCCTTAGACGAACCAAGTGGACCGAACCCGTCGGACCCCTCGGACCGTGAAACACACGGACAGCGCGACACGCGGACAGCCCCCTTTTTGGAGGATGGCACCTCTTAAGACATGGCACCTCGTTGGGACAACGGGGATTCACCCAGAGGGAACATAGTGATCTATGATATTGTAATATAATTCTATAATGCCTTAAGACACCAAAAAGCAAGACCAGGTCACTTACAAGGCATGGCCGTTGCAAACCGATGGCACTACCGGTGGCATGGCCATGTATACACGCCCGAGGTGAAACGACGACGAGCTAAATTGGTTCCACCGAACATTAAAACTCGGAGTGGAAGAAGGATGATCAGCGGAAACACATGTCGGCCAAATGTTTTCGACGTCTCAAAAGAGACTGACAATGAGTCACGAGGAGGTAAATTGCACGATATGATGAGTATTGGACAGTTGTTTTCTTCCCACTCTCTGACTTGCAGGGTTCAACAAAAAGAACAACTAGACATTCTCCAAGCAGGGTCATAAACCGGGAACCCCCTCTCTGCAGTCCTATGAATGAGTTCCAAAAGCTCACTTAACACTCACCTGGATCTGCCCAACACTTCTCAAGGGCAGGTCTTCAATCTGCACCTCTACGACGTCTGGGGCAGCAACTCAGGATGTCCAACGTCTCTGAAAGCTTTCGCACCGCCGTTTTCTAGCCGTTTTATAGCCGTGGGCTGTTGTAGACGTCGTCCACTTCTTGCTTGGTGATCTTTGTTGGTTAGGGTATAATAGATGTAATATGATCTACATTGATCTACTCGTTTTCCGGCTACATCTGGGTCCCCGCACACGTAAGTCGTCCACCACTCAGCCATCAAATTCTCCTTCCTGGGCGGCACTCTCACAACCACCAGCACCTCCGAAACTCAGATCGGGTATAAGGTGCCATAGAGCAACCTACGAGACGAGACTACGAGCTGGACCAGCTCGCTTCGCATGGTTCGCATGGGTCCAAAAAGGGCCGGTGGCATCCGGTGCCATGAAGCATGCCTATAGGATGATTACGCAACCACTCGGACCAAGCGAGCAGGCTGCTAGCAAGCGGTGATCTTTTCCCATCTTTTCCCAAACAGAGCGGAACAGTCCCAAATCAAGCCATCTAATATGACCTGTGGGTGTGTACTGAAATAGGGAGACCATGGGAGACCTCCCAAGGACCCCTAGGAACAAGGAAAATCGACCAAAATCCATTGGCTGCAGGCTGGAGGTCTCTTTCTTTTGAATAGTCAGTCTCACTCACACTCATTCAACTGGAAACGGTGCCGAACTGTGCCGCTCCGTCCAAGCGACGACGCTTGAAGGGAATCACTTTGCATCAAGCCAACACCTCGGGTGGCAATCACTCCGACCCAAAATTTCCTGAAACTACGTCAGGGCGTTTCAGACATGAACAGCCAATTCATTTGGAGAGGCCCTCATTGGATTTTCTGATTGGCCGAAGGTTCACAGTCCAACTTCCTTTTCTGGGAAAAGCACGAAAAGCCACCCCAACCTCATGAAAACCTGATTCCATTCACCCCCGAATGAGGTTTTTCATGGTTTTTCTATACCTCTTCAGCATCCGACACGGTCACCGTGCAAACCCGATGGCGCTGTGGCGTGTCCCGCGGCGAGAACCGAGGATGCGAGGCGAGGTCACTCGAATCGCCCGGGGCGAAGACAACATCCCGTGGCTTCGTCTGACCGGTGCAACGATCTTCGTAGGGAATGAAGGACCTCGATCGCCCCAAAGATTCCTGATCCAGCCACCCGAAAAGCCACCCTACTTTCGTCGCACAAGTCAGTAGTGTCAAGCACCAGGAAAAGCCGCGCTCTGACGCGATGGATATCAAGCGAAACGTCTCCATCTGTCCCTGTCTTTCGTTCGTCAAAAAAAGAACGTCACGTCTCCAGGCTGGATCCTTTTGCCCAAGGTGCTGAGAAAATACACAGGGATGTAAAAGCTCCCACAGTGGATGTTATCAACCTGCCATTTCTCCCCGGGCGAGACGCGGCAGACGTGGCACATACCCCGCGGTAATACGGGCGATCGAATCGGGGTAATCCGAATCGAATCGATTCGGGACATGGATTCAGCATGCGAAACAGCCCCCCAAAAGCAGCGAAACGATCATAGCTCAAACAGCGATGTTATACTTGAGACGTGTTACCTTACTATCCAGGTGTTCCTTACTATGTTCATAGACGATCATGTCAAACATGTCAAACATGTGTTGGCCAAAGCAGTGAGAATAGATCTCTCAACTGCCAGCCACCCTTCAGAACGTTGACATCAACCCCTCAAAAAAGAAATGCTTAAAATTCCTGAAATGTTTCCCAAGCACACCTCAACTGCACAAAAAAAGCAACCAACCATGCGTTTGGCAACCTTCAGAACATAGTAAGGAATTGATTTGGATGTCAAATGTTTTCAGTGGAAGGGCACATCGCAAGGATGTGCGTCATCATAAAGAAGCACCTCAAGGATGACAACTGTGTACTTAGAAAACAACATAGCAACACATATCAACAAAAATACAATATATATATATAAATAAACTAAACCAACAAAACAACTGAGGGAAGACAATGGGTACGCAGTCAGCATAGTAAAGGGTTGATCTGTCTGTACATCAAGCGAATCTCAGTCGGTGTTGGTCAACAATATCAACATGTTGTTTGTCCCAACCAACTTACAAAGGAATCCTTAGAATTTGAATTATCCAAGCACAACTCAACTGCATATATATATATGACTTATAACCAACCATGCTTTTGGCAACCTTCAGAACACAGTAAGGAATTGATTTGGTTGTTCTTCAAATGTCTTCAGTGGAAGGGCACATCGCAAGGATGTGCGTCATCATATGCAGGAGCCCTTCCAAGCATGCGCACCACACCACAACATGACCTCAAGGCTGACAACTGCGTACTTCGGAAACAACATAGCAACTCAATGACGGTTCAACCAAACATATATACGCAAAAACCAATGACATGTCAAGAAACATCAACGTCTACCAAGTCAGCATAGTAAGGATTGATCTGACTGGACATCAATGCATCTCAGTCATGATCGGACTATCATCATGTCCTGGTGTCATCAAAGCACAATCCAGAAAGTCAACTATAAGCAACACATCTCAACTTGCTTTGGCAACCTTCAGAACATAGTAAGGAATTGATTTGGATGCTCTTCAAATGTTCTCAGTGGAAGGGCACATCGCAAGGATGTGCGTCATCATACAGGAGCCATTACAAGGATTCCTAGCACACCACAACATGACCTCAAGGATGACAACTGTGTAATTATTTGGGAAACACAATAGCAAATAAAATCGACCACATACCATAATTGAACCAAAACAACTGAGGGAAGACAATGGGTACCCAGTCAGCATAGTAAAGGGTTGATCTGTTTGTTCATCAAGCGCATCTCAGTCGATGTTGATCAACAATATCAACATGTTGTTTGTCCCAACCAACTGACAAAGGAATCCTTAGAATTTGAATTATCCAAGCACAACTCAACTGCATATATACATATATATATATGACTTATAGCCAACCATGCTTTTGGCAACCTTCAGAACATAGTAAGGAATTGATTTGGTTGTTCTTCAAATGTCTTCAGTGGAAGGGCACATCGCAAGGATGTGCGTCATCATATGCAGGAGCCCTTCCAAGCATGCGCACCACACCACAACATGACCTCAAGGCTGACAACTGCGTACTTCGGAAAC